AAATATTACAAATGTCACCAGCTACGAATGTATACAAAATTGGGTTAATTTGTTTAAATTGTGATTTGTGTAATTTAATTCTAATTTTTCTATATTATTTGCCATTTTTTGTTGATTTTTGATGTGTGGGTGGGATTTCTCCAAACCTCATATCCACACAGACTCCACACAGACTTGCTGAATTTTTGAATTTAAAATTTTTTTTAATTTTTTATTTTTAAACTTCAGTGAGATTGGGCAGTTGTAAGTTGCTATTTTAACTTTTTATAATTATGTAATTCTATATTTTATATTCTTATCTGCCTTTTATTGTAAATTTTAACCTTTGGATATATTTATATATACATTTATTATTGTTTGTTAATAAGTGTCCTCCTTGGCGGCAGAGAAAATTTGTGCAGCAATTAAGTTTGCTTTTGTTTAATCCTGTCTCTGTCAGGGGGTGTTTTGTTTTGTTTTTGTTTTTGTTGTACATGATTTTAAAATTGGACGAAATAAATGAAATGTCTGATCCATTTCAGTCTCATATAAGCCCGTAGCCAGGATTTTTAAAGGGGGATTCTTTTTGATAACTGACAGGGCACTTGCGAGTGAAGCAAGCACCATTGGCTGGGGGCCAGGGGGTGAAGCCCCCGAAGCTCCAGCATTCTAGACATTTACAGGTGTTATTTAATTGATTTCAGAGGCCATACATTAAAAAAATGTATATATTAAAGAAAGTAATTTGAGTTAGGCAAAGATAAAAAATAAAACAAAAAAACAACTACTACTTTTAGTGCTACAGTACTGGTAATTTAACAAGAGCCTACAGTAGCATAATACAAACTCCAAAGAAACCAGTTATGGTTTATTCTTTCAAGTTCTTTTTTATTCTTTTTAAGAAATAATAAGTATTGTATGGCTTTATAGCACTTTGGAAGTTGTATCATACTGTACTCACTCAAAGACAAATCAGTAACATAAAAAAGAACCAAGACAAATTTGTATGGTTGGTTGTAGTGTATTATTATCCCGATTATTATTATATATATACAGGTGAAACTATCCCCCGCCGGACACCATCCCGGTATTTCTGAGTCAAGGTTTCGGGGCCTGAATGGTCATACTGCAGAATAAAATATTGCATCCATAGTAAATATAATATTATGATTTACTAGTATGGTTCGTATGGTTGGTTGTAGTGTATTATTATTATATATACTGTATCCAGGCACAGCGTCGGCAAAGCAGAAACAAATCGCAGGGTGTCGGGTGGCGGGGATTGTTTGTGTGAAATCCAGGGAACTCTGTTTATATTACAGTATTTTTAAGGTCTCACTCTAGCTCTCTCTAGTATGCCGGTGGCCAACGGCAGACCTGCCAACCCTTGGGTCATGAAAATCAGGAGATTTTTTTAAGGATCTTAAACAAATCAGGAGATTTACCAAAAAATAATTAACCAAAAGATGATTCAAGATACCAAAAAAAGTCACGTTACTACAAATCATTGGCCGTTATGGCGACATTGGAATTGAAAATGGCTGCTTGTTTATGCACCGTGAAGCGAGCAGGCGGCGAATACATTGAATAATAACAATCAAATCAATCAAATTATGCATAAATCAGAGTATTTTTGGGGAGATGGGGTGGTCTGTGAAATCAGGTGAAAATTACATTCGATCGGGAGAACTGGAGATTTGTTTAAATATCGGGGGACACCCGACAGGATCGGGTGAGTTGGCAGGTCTGCAACGGTCATATCGGGACAATCAGCGATACGCTCTGCTGCTGCTCTGCCCTGTCCCTATATTGGGCGGGTAGGCATACACTGTTGTACTGATTATTATGATAATGTTGTAACAGTTGAAAATGCCTATTTTTATTTATTTTTTATGTTACTAGACCTAACAATCGGGTAGTAGTAGGACTTGTTTTTAATGATGATAGGCTCTAGGCTATGCCCAAGGTGTAGTATAGCCAGCCTTTGTTGAAAGGGCACTTCACGAAAAGGGGGGGTTCGTTCAAACCCGCCGAACCCCTCTGGCTATGGGCTTGTGTCATAGATAT